TGGAGCTCAGTCCCTCAACCCCCTGGACCCAACAGTGAATGTCTGTTGGGTCTGGGGGATTGCTGTAACTTATGGTGCTTCCTGCAAAAAGTGCCATGAGCTACAGCGGGGAGCGCACATCTGTCAGTGTCCCATGTGGTTACCCTAATGTAGCTGAGGGTAGGGCTTACCCTGCCAACAGTTCCCTGCTTCTCAGAATGAAATGCAGGAAATGATTCACCTCTATCTTTTTATTTTACTGTTTTTAAAGCATGTGTTCAGTAGATCTACAATCTTCACATGCCTCAGCATTGCAGGCAAGAAGAGCCTTGCATAGGACACAGGGATTCCTGTTTCCCAGTTCAGTTACTCTGCTTTTGTCTTGGCAACTATGAGGTGCGGTTCATGAAAGGTCACTGGCTGGAAAGAAGATGAAAAGGCTAAAGTAAACAATGGTAAAGAGAGGTCTGAGGTCTTCTCCAAATGACTTAAAGATATTACTGCCTAGTAAAGATAGAGGAATAAGGTAAAAGTCCTAGGTTTTGAGAGGCTATGTTTCAAATGCTTCAAAAGTACAATTCCCTTGACTCTAAATTACCAGGTTTGGTTCACTTTAAGTTGTAGCTGAGAGTCCATTTCATGAGATGGTGCTTAAGTGATTCCATATTTGGGGCTGGCTTGATGAATTTTAAAAACTGACTATGCAGTCTATACAGAAATGCAATCTGCTGCCTTAAATGCCCATGTTGCAGAAATGTAAGCATGTGCTCCACTTGAGCTACTTGCAACATGTAAAACTGAGCAGGATCAGGCCTGGGGTCCTGGTTGAAGAGACTGCCAACTCTGCCCTGTTGGAACCTTGTTTTCTGACATGCATATGAAGTTGCTGGAACTACTTTGGTGAAGAGAGAGGTAGGCAGCTGTGTTAGCCTGAAGTTAGGCAGAAGGCAGGGTAGATATACATCATACAGACTAAGATGTATAAAGAGCATACATTTTTTGTGAACTTGAGTTATAGGGCTTATGTTCTTGATATATATTAGTTAATCTAGAAGTTTCACATCTAGCCTGCCTACTATTTTGGTGCTACAGCATATAAACAGTTTAGTAGAGCAGCTCTAGAACTGCATCTGGTCAAGGTAGGTTCTTCCCACTACACAAGGTGAGGACCAAGGGACTTCCTCCATGTTTCCCTCCCCCCCACACCATTTTATTGAGTAAACTGTTGTATCTGAACAGGATTCAACCCAGAGATGACCCTGGGTAAGCTGTTTGGAAGAGTTCTGTGCAGGAAGTACAGCCCTACCCTGAGAAGTTAGAAGACAGTGAGTGCTGCGACTACTTCATCACAATGAAAGTCTGATATATTTGAGGAACTAATATTTGTTTGTGTATTTTGCCCTTCCTGGGAAGAGTGCAACACAGCTTTGGTCTTTTTTCTAAGAACAATCACCTGTAGCTTGTTACTGATTGTCCTTCATTTGGCAGTTAGTGCCCCCAGTCAGCTTGTGGTTTACTACAAAAGCTTAATCAAAACCTCAAAGAAAGTGATTAACAGAGCAGCTTAAGACTCCTGAAAATAAATGAGACTGTTTCTTTTGTGTGTATCCTCAAGATTCTAGCCACGAAACTCAAATTATAGTGCAGTGAACATAACTACAGTAATTCAGGAATAATGTTGGTAATTCTTGTGTAAAAAAAGCAAGAAAAAATTCCTGTTCCTTGGGCTGTGGCAAGATGACTTAGCTATATATCCCTTAACAGAAAGAAAGCTGTCAATGATTGAATCCTGATAATGACACCAACAACCCAGAATGCTAGAGTCTCCTTCAATTCCATGAAGGAAATATGCAGACTTGATCTGGGGGACACCCTGAGAGTCTCCCATGTTACAGGTTGTCCAACTATATCAATAAAGCAGAAAAAGAAGCCAGTTACCCTTTCTCTGCTTTTGCTGGTCACATTTAAGCATGGTAATCTCTCTTATTGGGCAAATATATATTTGGGAGAGATGTTAGGCAAGCTTTTGGATACAAAAAACCCTTGTTCAGGTCTGAAAAAGCAGCAGAGAGCCAAAACTAAGGTTGGCAACCTATGGCCTATGGGACAGATCTGGCCAGTGGGTCCATTTGATCCAGGTCATGGACATGCTGCCACAGGGAAAAGCAGCAGCTGTGGGAGCTCTTCCCCATGCTGTTATGGGGAGAAAGTGGTGGTGGCAACAGTATCCATCTCTGACCAAACTCCAGTCATTTGGCCTACAACCTGAAAAGGTGGTTAACCACTGGCCTAAACTAAATATTAGGGGGCATGTTTACATGTGCAATTAAATGTCCATGCATAAGTGTACATCCAGGAGCAAACAACTCTGGAGTATATTGCTCCAGAGTTCATTAGTGCATAGCACATTGAGCCCAGTTGGAGCAGCTCTGGCTGGCAGCAGCCCAGAACTGCTCCAACTAGGCTCAGTGTGCTATGGCAGGGCTGACTGGGGTACAAGGGTGCTTCACCGTGGGGCTAGGCAGCAGGTAGCCCCCACAGAGGCACTCTCATGCCCCAGCCAACTGGACAGCATCTACACATGCATTGCCACACAAGAAAAAAAACTCTGCAGCAGGGTAGACCTTGTATTTACAAGCACTAGCCTGCTCTGGAGTATTAGTTGTGTGTGCCCTGAAAAGGGTGCACATGTAGATACTGAGGCAGAACAATTACTCCTGTTCTATGGCTACTATAACACAACCGTTAAGTCTAACATCTGTGCACTGTCTTAAGTGAGTGAGTCTTTAATATTGCAAGGCACTTCCTAAAATAAGACATGTACGGCTGTGAACCCATTCCTGGAGTGGGGTATCTGTCTTCCTTTCAAGAAATGTGGCATGATGGTTGTCCATCCTCTTTTCAAAGAGAGGATGTGGTGATATACTCCAGTTTTACTCCACAGCCCAATGGTTAGAGTATCCAGCTGGAATACACATGCACACAAAGAACCATACATGCATGCACACACACACATGCACACAAACAGAGATCCAGAACAGATATGTGCACACATCCAGAACCAGATGCATGGGTGCACAGAGCTGGGTTGCTGGGCCACCAGACAAAATCCGACCCAACAGTGCCCTGGGCCTCCTGGAGCCCCTGTGCTTCCTTGGGGAGCCAGCCCCAAGCTGCAGTGCAGCCAGCTGAGGCCCCGGCTCAGGGCCTGCCCATCAGCTCAACCACCCACCCACTCCACACAGCTAATCCCACAAAGGTGTGTTGCTCCTGGCAAGGGGCAGCACCAGCCTCATCCCAGTAAGGGGGCTGGGCCAGTGCTGGGCTTAGAGCAGGTGGGAATCAGGTGGACTCAGCTGCAAGCAGCCTGGGCTCTCTGGTTGGCAGCAGCTACCCAGAGCTGGGGCTGGCTGCAGCCAGGAGGTTGCAAACAGCTGCATGCGTACCTTGAAGCAGACAGTGGGGGGACCTGAGGCATCACAACCCCGGCCTCTCCCCTGCTGCCAGCACAGAGCTGATGACTGGGCTCTGGAGCCCGGAGCAGCTGCTTGTAGCCAGCCTGGGCTCTAGGCAGCTGCAGCAGGCAAGCTGCAACCAGCTTTGCTGGGCTTCACAGCTCTGGCATCAGCTCCATGCTGGCAGTGACTGCACACGCACCTTGGAGCAGACAGCAGGGATAGGACCTGGCCCTGAGGCAGCACAGCCCTCCCGCTGTCCACTCCGAGGTGTGCTGCACAGTCACTGCCAGCATGGAGCTGATGCCAGAGCTGTGGAGCCCGGCACAGCTGTTTGCAGCCTGCCTGCTGCAGCCAGCCCCAGCTCTAGGTAGCTGCTGCCAACCATGGTGCCTGGGCCGCTTGCAGCAGGCCTTGCAGCTTCCCAGCCGCCTGCTGGGAGCAGCCACCCAGAGCCAGGGCTGGTGGTGGTATACCAAGCAAAATGGCCTCACATGCCATGCTCAGCATGCATGCCAGGGGTTGCCAACCCCTGATATACAGCCAAGGAGTCAACTTCATGCAGCGTCTGTGTTCTAACTGATTAGCTTAGATGATAAGTCTAGATCTAGGATACTGAAAAGTAGGGTGTAGGTGGTGAAGTGCATCCATACATATAAGACACAAACATATTTTTCTGCAGTTAAAAAGAAACTAGAGGCTTTACTAATACCCTAGGGCTGTATTATTCAGTTTACAATTAAAGCAAAAACTGATAGAACTTCATTGGAATGAGTTGAAAACAATTTGCAGGGCTGTGAAATGGAAGCTTCATTAATCAGGACCAGCTAACAGACAGGAGCATTGCAGAAGAAAGGTTAGCCTGATTGATGGAACATCAAGGCCATTAAAAAGAAAAGAGGGTCATTAACACCTGTGGAATGAAAAGTTTAGAAGGGATCCGGTAGATTATAATGATCCATGAAGTCAATTGACTCCCTCAACATTGTCTGACTAGAAGTGTTGCTGCCACTGTCAGGCAGTTGGTTTTAAACTTTGGGTGGAGGAGGAATCAGAGTGGGGTGCAAGTGTGCCAGTGCACCCCAGTCCTACCCCCTCATAATCCACCCCTGTCTGGCTGTAACATCTATGCCTATTTTACTATACCACAATCTTTTTACTTCTTCCATGTTTGTTGAGCAGGCCTGTTGGCTATGACTTTAACTTAACTGTGATCTATTTTCACAATTTGCTGTGTTAACTTCTTGCCCAGCTATTTTCTTTTTCTGTTATATGCAATTTGCATTTGTTTGTTTAGCTTTAGCCTGGGAGCTCTGACTCTTTCAAAGCTTTGAGGAGCCTCTGATCGTGTTTGTCTACTATTCATACTCAAACCAAATGTCTCTTCTTGTTTACAGTGATGTGTGTCTGGTATTAAAAATGAAGAAATAAGACCTTCATATACCGTTAAACATGCACAGGTACATGCTTTATTTCTCCAAGAACACCTACTGGGACCTTGGTAATGTATCCAGACTGCAAAATAGTTTGCATCAGCCATCACGCCAATTTTTTTTTTCCTTGTAGGTACTGGAAATGGAAATAAAGGCACTACGAGGTTTAGACAGCACCTGAGCAGGGTTTTAAAGAATGCCAAAGTGTGGGTCACAAAGCAAGAACCACCAAAGTGAAGGGACAGTGAAAGCCACGTGAGTACATGCACAGCTCAATGTACTGTGTACTACAGTAAGTTTAAGCGATAGCTCTATGATGCTGCTGTAATGAAAAGGCCAGATTGCTTTGGTTATATGATAAATGCTTAAATATAAGAATAATGTTTAACACAGAGGAGCAAATGCAGGTGCTTATTAACTTTGATGTCCCATTCCACAAATCAAATCTATAATAAAGCAACAGAATCAACTGATATTACCCCTTGACATATGACTGGGGTGTTTTGAATACAGAGTTCTAAGTAGGTCATGAGATGGGCCAACAGGAATATAGTAAATGGTTTCACTGTTGTTAGGTGGCACACATTTTATCCAACCATAACACCAATCTCAAGACAAGATTCTTTTCAGGCTGAGCACCACTAAGTTCTCAATAAGATATGTTAACACTCACTTTGATTTTTTTTTTTTTTAACTTTAATCTCTGTAGCTATTTGATGTATATTATTTCAGATGGAAAAGTACTAACTTTCTTCCAATTTCAGTCCTCCTTATCTAGGTTTGCCAAAACCTTTAAAGGAATCATGACCATAGTTGGTACAAATGGAAGCTTTAAAGTGGGTAGGTACACCAACAAGCTAACTTTTCAATTAAACTAGCAATTATACATATTATGATGCAAAATATTTCATTTTTACACCATATGAAATT